GAAAGATGGTGTCTAAATGTCTGCGTACAGTGGCTACATAACATGATATTCCTTTCTGGAATGAAATTTTCCTAACAGTCAGACATTTACCGTTTTCTATCACACATTTCTAATTGGAAAATATGCAGCTTAAAGTACACATCTGCACACCTTAAACACCACATGACTGGTTCGAGAGCCAGCGCCCTGCATACCTTGCTGGTGGACGCCTTGTAAGTGGTCTTTAGTTTCTGAGAAAGCTGGCTGGTACTGTGGCTGGCTGCAGAGACAAAAGTAAACAATCAAATACACACATTCAACTAAACCACACTGCACCGCACCTCCAAGCTTCATCTTACACAGAATGACATTGAAACCCAAAAGGATTGTTTGTGCACAGTGACATGAAAATAATGGCAGAGCTGTGACAAGAACCCAAACTCCAGGTTCTTTATACTTCAAGTCCTACACCTGAATTATGTATTTCAAGTTTTGCTAAAAGCAAAAGACAAATCAGTCACTGTCCGCTGTTAAATTCCAGTTCCTTCCACACCTAACCTACAGGTCGATACTCTCGCAAGCATTCCCCTTACCTTTTGTTTTGAGCTGGCCCTTACTCAGTTCTGCCCCATCAATCGCTTGTCCTTCAGCAGCTAAGCGTTCATTAAGAGTATCGATTTCTCTACGCACTGGGAATAAAAGACAACTTTTTTTAAAATGTAAAATGTTTTTACATTTAAATGTGCTCATCACTTCCACAACTTGCATACCTAAAAATGTTGTATGTTAGTGTTATCTAAACAAAGACACAAATATTATTCTAATAAGCAAGGTCACAATTACGGGGTTCCAAAACCCTCAAAATATCATTTAAGATCTTTCCAAAACATAGGAGTTTACATGCACTTGCTACACTGTGGAAGACACTACGATCAGAGCGTCACCCAGGCACCTCTGTCTCTCTCCAGCAAGTACATGTAACCTTCAGCAAATGAGGGGGCAGGGGAGAGAAAAAAATGAAAACCAAACTACAGGGTCATTTTAGAAAAATATGTCATGACTTTTCCGATGTCCCAATGATTGAAAATTATTTTGATTTACCTTTAGTAAGTCGGATAATACATACATTTTAGAAATTTTTCAAATAACTAATACAAAGAAAAACATAGATCAAAATTTTCTCAACTTACAATATACTTAGTATAGGAAAAATTTTAAGAAACACTTTTTATAAAATCACAATATGGATAGGTGCAATAATCAGAATAATGCCCCCCTCCACCCACCCGTCAAAGATGTGCATGCCCTAAACTAATAGACACAAGGGATCCTGCAAGTGGGGAGATTACCCTGGATTATCCCATGGGCCCCTCCAGTCACATGCATCCTTATCAGTGGAGGGAAGGCAGAGGGTGAATCAGAGAAACAATAAAAGAAACTCTCCACCCATGGGGAAGAGGAACATGATCCAAGGAGTGAAAGGTAAGGGGACCTCTGTGCAGAAGAGGTAAGGAACTGAATTCTGTCACAACTCCAGCAACAGAAAACATTCATCCCTAGGGTCTCTGGAGGGAAGCACCACCCTGCCAACATCGTGACTTTGGTCTGGTAAGAAATATGCCAGGCCTACAGAGCTATAAGATGATAAAGTTTTGTTATTTTAAACCACTAGGTTTGTTATAGCAGAACAGAAAACTATTATCATAATAAATCTCTACCCACAAATTTTACTCTCAAAGAGTTCTATGGATAAGTGAAAAGATATAAAAGCCCATTAAGATGGGAAATACTCACATTCCAAATTTTCAATATAAAGGTTTTCGAATTCTCTTTCTATTTGACCAAACAGTTCCAGAAGTGTACTGCGAACTGAGGAAGGCAGTTTAGAATCCTAGAGAAGAGAAAGAGTTTGTTTAAAATGAATGAATGAATAAGAAATTAATATGAAGTAAGAGTATACTATTTCCAAAACAAATTATCCTAAACTTTTACTTTATATCATTATGTACTTTATTTTTTTAAACATAAAATGCTTAAAGAATTTAAAGTTTCAACTTTCTATAGAGGAAATAATAAAATTGTATAAATGTCTACCTAGGGTTATATAGGTTTTTAAGAACAAGCACTTCTTCAAAGTAGCATAATTTGTCCTTTCACAAGAGGACACAGCCTTACTTTAAAACGTCTAAATCTGTACAGAAGGCAGTCACCATAAATGAAATTATATTATAAAGAGCCTTTAAGCTCTATCATACGCTACCACATATATTTAATATGCTATACTGAGAGTAGATGTACCTTTAGCATTTCACTATTTCTACTGAGCTTCAAGCAGAATAAACAGGGTATTTCCTATAATACTATTTACTACCTAAAAGACTGCTGTGAAGAAGGGAAAAAGAAAAACCTTAGCTCTAAGGGAACCAGCAGTTAGCGTAATGGCTATGTCGCTGGATTCCCACGTAGTCGACCGCGGTTCGTGTCCCGGACCCGGTGGCTTAAAACTCACGCCGGGCGCGTGTGCGTGCGTGCCCAAGATCCCGAGAGGAGAATGGAGGAGAAGGGATTGCGGCGTCTGTCTGTCTGGCGAACGCACGCGCCCTACAGTGAAAATCTCCCCCAAAAAAAAAAAAAAAAAAAAAAAAAACCTTAGCTCTAAGAGCACAATGTGCTAGGTATTAACAGTAAGTTCCAGTCAGGCCATGTTCCTTATGCCTTTGCACATCTCTCACCTCCAGTCACTGTCTAAAAAGCCAAAAGAAGGCAATGGCGAAGCAGTGTACCTCAGCTAAATGTTTACCACGCTCAAATGAGTTAGGAGCATCTAAACACCAACCAGGCTCAGGAAACAAACGGTATCCTGGGCACGGTTACTAACTGGAGACTGCCTGATACAGCCTGTATCCTGAGCTCCACACGGCTCACCCTGCACCACGTTGTGTGTGTCCCTATCCTCAGCATAAAAAAAAAAAAAAAAAAAAAATGTTTTTCCATGGGTATATCTAAAAATAATGTTATAAAACCTAACTTTTTTCAATGTTATCATTGAAATTTTCTAAGTGACTTCAAACTTAAATGCAACACAAGCATTCTGATATTTGATGAGTAGAAGGTTAAGAACATATATGTATACAATATTTATTATATTCCTTCTCTGATTAACTTCTTAGGAAGACAAACATTTAGAAAAATAGACAGTATTTTAGCAGTATTATTTTCCAATAATCACAGATTTCTCACATAATTTTACAAAATTCTTAAATACGCGTAAAACCAGTCACTTAAAATAACTACAAGTTACAGGGCCAGTGTACAGCATGGTGATTAAGGCTCTGGATTCCTACATGGCTGACCCCAGTTGAAGTCCCAGACTCAGCAGCTTGAGAATCACGCGAGGCATGTGTAAGTGCATGTCCGAAATCCCAAGAGGAGATGGAGGAGAAGGGACTGCAGCATGGCCATTCCCCCAGGGGCTGACTTCTCACTTTCCCTCTCTGTCTCTCTCAGGTGAGCACACATGTCCTAAGGCAAAAACCTAAAATAACAAAACAAAAAAAACCTATAAGTTATAAACCTGTACTGAACTGAAAAATCACAATTAATATTTAACCATTCACCCTGACTTGTGGATTTGAATATTCTATTCCCTCTGCATGGAACATACTCTTAGAAAAGCGTTTCTGACTCCTACAAGAATCTAGCTTTCCTCTTGTATCACTTTCTACACATCTATACCCATAATGGTTTCAGATCCTTATTATTCAGCAACTAAAATGCCATATTTACTGAAATGTTAAAAGTATCTTAATATGAAAGTAGTTGTTTTGGAAAACAGCTGAGATGTCAGCACTAACCTCACTTTATAAAACAATGATAATAAAGAAACTAAACAGTGAAATGAGAACTTGTCCACTAGAGGGCAAACCACCAATCACAAGAACACCTGACACAAGTTATTTATCAACATTTTCTGTCATTCGATTTTACGAACCATGAAATGAGAGGTGTTCAACCTTTTGGTACCACTTGAGAAAACTCAAGACAGAAAAGCAACTATGATTCAATACAGCTTTCATAGAGATTTACCTTTTCCCACACCAACACTAATAGACACTGGAAACATGCAGCACATCTGTCCAGGAAATTGCTTTTCAAGCCAAAGTCAGTGCTGCCCGTGCAGATAGACTCAGCAGTACTCTACAACGGACCTCCCATTGCTGTGCTCACCACTACTTCCTGAACTACATCAGGTTTACAAATCTAACACATGTAAAAGTTAAACTAACATACTCAGTCAGAGCTCTCTTCACTCTTTTGATACTGCTCCCCAACAACAAAAAGAGCATTACTACCCTGTCTAAAAGGTGATTGCTCCTATGATTCTATTCAAATCTTCTAGCAATCAACAACTCTGTATTCTTAGATCACCACATTATACCTACCATGCCAACTGTTTGCACTGAACACTATCGCCCTTTCCTCCTGCTGCAGAAGGAAAGCAGAGCACCTTACACTGGTGATTCATGAAACATGCCAGGGGGTCCCATGCCAAAGAAAACTGTCCTCATTCAACAAGTAAGTATTATCTAGGGAACTTAGTAGACACAAAGAAGCGGGCTGTAATAAGAGTGGTGCCAAGGAACAGGGGGCTCAGCCTGGAGAATTCAGAATGACCTTCATAAGGGTTACCATGAGATGCAAGTACCTCCTCACACTGCATCACAATGGAGGACAGGCACTCAAGAAAGCCAAGAAACAATTCTTCATATGCAAGGTAACTCTAGAATGCACTAGCAAGGGAGCCTGTACACTGCTAAAAATCCAAGGACATCTAGAAATCTAAGAAACTATCTTAGACTGTTTACCTGTCTCTAATACATTGACAACATCTGACTAAATTTCACTGTAAAGTAACTACAATTTTTTAAATGTTAGACTTCAGGTTTTGAGTCATATCAGCAGCCATATTTCAAGTTCTCAACAGCCACATGTGCCACATGTGCCCCATGGACCCTCATCAGATGGCACAGACAGGGAACATTTCCATCAATCCAGAAGCCCCACCACACAGCTCTCATAGCACTCTTCTACATGGGATGGCTAAATTGTGCCCCCCAAAATTTCCATGTTGAAGTTCATCAACCTCAGGAAGTAACTGTATTTAGAGATAAGAGTTTTACAGCACTAATTAATGTTACATGAGGTCAGTAGATGAACTCTGACTGGTATCCTTATAAGAGGTGATTCAGACACAGGCACACACAGAGGAACAACCATGTGAGGACATAGGAAGAAGAACATCTATACACCAAGGGAGGTGCCTCTGGAGAAAACGATCCTGTTAACACCTCAATCTCTAACTTCTAGCCTCCAGAATTATAAGGGAATGCATTTTTATTGGCTGAGACAGACAGTTGATAGTACTTTGTTATGTTAGCCCTCACAAAGTAAGAGCACCAAAACTATTTTAATGAGTTTTATTTCCAAAATTAAATTCAAATGTAATCATTTTTATAGACTATTTATTCTTCTGTTGAACACAAAATAATTCATTCTAATTGATTATCTACTTCATGGCAGGAACAAAGTTAAGTTCTAAGAGCACACTGCTGGTAGAGTTCACATTCCAGAAATCTCAGGCATAAAGTTATCCATACAGTTCTAATATACGAGTCAATTTCTCAGACTTAAGTCTTATTTTCCTTTAATGTTATGGCCAAAAAACTTGTCCTAATCATCAATGGCTATAAATTTACATACACATTTATACTTACGTACATATGTAAGTATGTGTTGTATAAACCTATAAACCATTTCTCTCTCTCTCTTTCTTTTTTCCTTTTGCTAGAGTGTGAGCTCACCAGAAAGAGACAGAGAGAGGGAGAGAGAAAGCACCACCAATGGGGTATAGTCATACTAATCTGAGCTGTCACACCTACGTTTTTGTTAAGTAATTATAAATACATTAACCCCAAAATCTAATTCTATCTCCTTATACAATACTTTTAATGGGTTTATTTGGAAGTACTTTGGGAGGATTTTCTTTTTTAAAATTTATTTATTTCATGAAAGGAAGGGAGGGAGGACAACCTGAACCCAGGGCTTTCTGATTCACCACCAGTATCAAAAGTGGCTCCCGGGAACCAGCAGTTAGCGTAATGGCTATGTCGCTGGATTCCCACGTAGTCGACCGCGGTTCGTGTCCCGGACCCGGTGGCTTAAAAAAACTCACGCCGGGCGCGTGTGCGTGCGTGCCCAAGATCCCGAGAGGAGAATGGAGGAGAAGGGATTGCGGCGTGACCA